TAAAATGGAAAAGAAATGTGTCATTGGGAGGGGGTTACAACCAGAAATACAATAGGAGAGAAAACAGGAGAACCATTCTGAATTTTCATCTCACTCCTAAATATTATTGGAATTATCTCTGACTGTTAGATGTATTAATTTCATAACTTCCCTGATAATGGGCTGTCTGACTTCAGACAAGTCAGTGTCTCTGACTGTCAGTTGCCTCATCTGTAATTAAAAGAGATCAGGTCAAAATTTTTATGGTAGAGAAATGTAGAAATGTAAGATGGCTAAGAGATCATCTAGCTCATCCTATTGGATATAGGACTACTTTCTAAATTGGCTTCAAGGAAAACAGGGCTCAGGAATTTAGTACCCTCAGGAAAGTTCATTCAACTTTCAGATGGCTCTTATTCAGAAGTTTTTCCAAAAGTTGACCTAAGATTTTACTGGATAATTTCTACCTGCATTGTTAAAAACTTATATCCAAAATTGCTACGAAAATCTTCTCCTCCACATGCTACAATGGCAATAGTTCCACAATCACTTTTATCACAACATGAATTACTTGTAAGGTATGATAATTAACATTGGCTTCTAGTCTTAATTCCGCCACTGTGTTTGTGACGTTGGCAAAGCACTCACCACTATATCTGGGCCTTAATTTCTCCAATTTATAAAATGAAGGGCTTAGATTTTGTCAAATGTCTCTTGTAACACTGACAATTTCTTCCTGACTATATCTTTGTCCTTGACTTAGTTCTCGCTGACCTTCTAGAATGAGGTGTTGGAACTTCTTTAATAAATAAAGAAATATCCTTTTCCTGTCTTTGTTGTTTCCCTTAAAACTTCTCATTGCTGTGGATATATGTGTTTAAATTAAAGTATAGAAACTGAAATCTTTGTGAGATAAAAAAATTTAATAACTTGGGACTTGCAGTCCCTTTCCTACAAAAAAAGAGATAGATTAGGATCTTAACAGTTAGAAAGAACCGTACAGGATATCTAGCCCAATCTCCCACTAATGGAGAAATCTGTAATAGAGAAGCCCTTATGTTTTGTCTTCCAGCCTCTAGGATTTCTAGTGAAAAGGTACTCAATATTTTGTGGACTTACCCTGCTCTATTGATGTACGGCACAGTGCCTGTCCTCGAATGTTGTTCCAGAATCTGCTTCCTTGGAACCACCCATCGATTCTGGTTCTATCATCTGTTAGCATGGCAGAATAGATATACCTCTTCATGCTTAATAGCCCCATAACCATTCAGATTCAACTACCATAGCTGAACCTCCTTCCCCACTTATCCCCCAAAGCTTCGCTCCTCCAAGCTAAAGCTCACTCTTCTTTATTTGTTGCTTTCCACACCCTTTCCTATCCAGTTTCCTGCATACTGGATGAGTTTTAGCTTGTCTATATTCTCTTTAAAATGTGATGCCAAAAATATAAATATATAAAATATGTCAATTAACTTGTTATTTTTCACATATATTGAACCCAATTCAGGAAGACCAGGGAGTCACTGCTTAAACTAAGTATGTTTATTGCACAATTCTCTTAGCACCAGAAAGCATTCCGCTTGCTCTGTGCCTTCACATCTCTCTCTAATTATCAAATACGTCGATGAAAGCCAACCCTCTATCTTTTGAAGTGGTGTCATAGACTCCAGCTCAGCATTTCTTAGTGCTACCATCAGCTAAAATTGAGCTGTATGGTATGTTGTCCATTTCTTACGTTCTCACATCATGTGAGCAGAAATATTATCAGAAATCCCTCTCTGAGAATCTATGAAATGAAGTCCATCAGAAACAGAGCATTCGAACAAGTACAGAACAAATTATTTACGACACATGAGATTAGATCTAAAATGACTTCCCTACATTGGCTATTTTGTGATATTTTTGATTCTTCAAAATTAGACCTCTGAATGTCTTTCTTTAATATATCATAATAAACATAGTTTTGTCAGATCTTTACCACAAGTGAAACTGGGTTGAGGCAAAAGCCTGGGTTATTCAGACAAAATACTTTTTCAGCCTATGGAAGCTTTGATCAGTATTGAAAGCCAAAACCAAAGAGTGCTGTCATATTACATTAAATCGAGACTAAATTGTGCCTATCCTCTACCACTATCACTAACTCATTATATGAAAATAAAAATAAATAAAACTAGGAGAACTTTGCTATTGGATTGTTTGCCATCAATTTCAGGGAATTTTTTGATGAGAAAACTGTGCCGTAGTTGGTGTGGCTGGTGCCACAGTTCTCACCTCTTCCCTTGCTACCTAATCCGCCAAGAAACCACCACAGGGGAGGACAAGGGTAAGGAGGAATGAGTATCTTCCCAAGTTTAATGTTCATGAATTATAGACCTAAATAGTCCCTGGGCTTCAGGACTCATCCTGCCTCCAATCAGGCAGAGCTGTGCATATACTAACAGCTTTCCTATTTCTCTGCGTTTCCAAGCAGATTCCTATTGTCTGCTTTTCCAAGACAAAAAGGTCATGAAATATACCCAATCCACTCTTGTTAGACTCAGAACAAGCCCTTGACAAGTTGTTGTGAAAGCAGAAGACAGAAATGCCTGGTGCTTTTGAGTTTGGGTTCACCATCTAATTTACACACACACACACACACACACACACACACACGCTTTTGCCCAAATACAGTTTTTCTACTCACTTTAAAGATTCTTTCAAAATCCTATTTAGTAGTTGTTCTTCCTGGGATTAGAAGAATTTGATTTTTCCCTTGGCTCCATAATCTTGTGTAATAATATCACAATACACAAGGGATACACACTTTCCTTTCCAGGTTACCAAGAACATTCTCAGTCACAAATCACTTTTTCTTCCACCAAGTCTTTTGTCTTACTGTAAAGCATTTGCCAAAAACTTCTACCTTAAAAAAACAGTACTGTCATTATCTTAACAAGGGAGGGAGGAGAGAAATCTGAGCATAGATTTGCTTTGAATAGCCGCAATCTTTAGGCTGTGTAATCTAAAGAAATGAGAGAGGTGTTCTTATAAAGTGATAGAGACAAAATGCCAATCAATGCATTGTTACCAAGAAAAATGAATAAATAAACTGCATGAGAAAAGAAGTGAACAAGGAGTCAGAGATATTTTTTAATCCTTCCTTGGCTGTCAGCTAGTCCTGATTTCATGAGTAAATCCTTCAATCTTGCTAAGCCTCAATTTCCTCATGTATGAAAGGGGAAAATAGCCATGTCATCTGAGACCCACAAGATCATTGATTAATTACAGAGCACTTTGGAAAATCCAAAAGGCTATACAATGTTTATGTTTTAAAACCAATAATTTTGCCTCCTACATGATGCACCTGGATAAGCTGTCACGCTGACACTTATCTTTACCTGGGATAATGTTTCTTCAACAAGCCTATTGCAGAAAAATGAAAAGGCCTCCTGCTACATTCACATAAGTATAGAACTTAGACCTAAAGTGATCTTTAGGATTCATCCCCATATTGGAGAAATAAGAAAACAAAAAGATTAACCCACGCTCACACCCACTATTGTTTATATAATTATTATTAATCATTAGAACCCGAGGGTCAGGATTCCACTCAGTCCTACTCATTCTTTTCCAGCCTTCCCGGACTCACTTTCCTAAAGACACAACCAGAAGCCAAAGAATCAGAAGGTGAGAGTGCCTCTGGCGCAGCTGCTATGTTTGATATGTGTACTGAGTGTGTAGGGTCATCACACAATTCAGTAGTATAATTTCAAACTCCAAATATCAGTACATCTCTGTCTCTTCAGCATTTCAGAGCCACAAAATAGCAGAGCCACTTTTCCACGTAAGTGGAACTCAAGACCATTAATCAAACGATTAGAAACAGAAAAATTGGAGTGAGAGGGAGGGGATCTGTTAATGAAAGGTTATTCGCAAGTTCATTTCTACAGGGACTAGGAAACTGCCTAGGACCAAGCGGAGGGGGCGTACGCGTGGGAGAACGCGGTAGCAAACCATTCCTGGAAACGCGTGATCATTCCCAGTTTTGCCTGGCGAGCCTTTCATTATCTAAGAGACTACAAACCCGGTAAAAGAAAAAGAGACCTCCCAGGGGAAAAGGAGAGGGGTAAAGCGCAAAGTCAATCAGACCCCCGCCCCATCTAAGTCCCCAAACAGGTGCACGGCCGGAACGCCTTTATCCTTAACCCTTTGGCCTTCATCTTGATTTCCTAAAATGCACTGAGAATGAGTATTTCCACACACAACCCGAGGAACACTCAGTTTTAAAATATCAGTATCCCGTGGAACGTGGAAGCGTTGCGGGACAGGAGCGCAACAAGTTCGGGAAGCAGAAATTGCTCTAAGGGTTTTCTGTGCCCAAGTTTCCCGCCGCGCGCTGGCGCCGCGCAGTACGCGGGACCCAGGGCGTAAGGGGCGTCTGCGCCTGGGGGCCACAAGCTGAGGAAGGGTGCCAGGATGCAGAACCGCGAGCTCTAGAGGAGAACAGGGACGAGAGAGAATGGAAGCGCCGCCCAGAGAAGGGGGGAGTTGCCTTCGTATTTGAGTCGGAGATGAGACTCGGGGCATGGGGGATGGGAGCGAGCGGGAGGTTAGTGACGAGCAGTGCATGAGTCTGTCCTGACACTGGACGTTTTAAAGATCAGATTGCGGTTCTATCTGGATCCCCGCGGAGCGGAGGCCCCAGAAACTGGGTCCCTTTGCAGCCAAACGAACTGTCCAAGAAAGGGCAAGGAGTTGGCGTGGTGAGGAAAGAACAGAGCTAGGGGCAAGTTGCTGAGAGGGAATGGGAGAAAGGGGTCTCTGATCGGAGAAAACAGAGAGCCGAAAGTCGAATTTCCAGTCTAGGACGCGGTACTGGGCTGGTCCCCGACCCCAAGGACGACGGACGCGGGAAAATGCGCGCCCGGGCGCACACTCTCCAGTGGCTGGGACCGGGAGGGCGAGAGGGGAAGCGGGAGGCCGGGCCGCGGGCCGCACTGGCTCCGCACCGGCCTGGAGGACAGGTGGGTTTTGTTTGTCTTCCAGGAGCGAATCTCCAAGGCCCGCCACGAGACTGGAGTCTGAGTCTTCCCGTCCGGGAGGGAACGGCGCTCGCCCCGCAGTCTCCTCCCCTGCCTACCACCCTCCCCAGCCTGGCGACTCAAAGCACGTGCGGCCCTGAGCCCAGCTCCCCCTCGTCTCCAATGTCCACCTCGTCCTCTGGCTCGGTCAGCACGAAGGGGCCGGCGGGCAGGCTCAGCCGAGCCTCGGCGGCTGCGGCCTCTGAACCGCGGGGGCTGCCCTCGGGGCTTTCTGGCCCGTCTGGTGCTTTGGGTTCGTCTTGGCTTTTCCGCAGTTGCTTTTTATGCTTCATCCGCCGGTTCTGGAACCATGTTTTCACCTGATTTCGGAGAGATAAAAATAAAATCATGTCATTCCTCCAAATCTGAGCGATTGCTGGGGTTTAGGAAAATGGGTGGCAGTCCGTTGATGAAGTATCCAAGAGCGGTGATAGCCTCAACTGCTCATAAGTTATCGCCTTGAGCCGAATGAGAATCGAACAGTCTGAGGCTTTCAGGAGTAACTGTCCCAAAATAATGATGAGGATTAACATGGGTGGTTAGCAGTTATGCATATTGTTATTAATTAGAACTACTAATAGTAAGTGCTGCGTGGGCAAATCTTTTTTACCCTCAGCTGATGTTCTCTGATTGAGACATCTAACCACCTGATCCGCAAGACTCCTGGACAGGAAGATGAGAATTGAACCTCCTGGTTCTCATCCGAGAGAAAATCAGACCCGGGCCTGGCAGAGCTAATGATTTTACAGCAAGAGGCGTTCTGGGTAGAGATTATGAGAAATGGGGAAGAGAGGACGGGGTTTGAGGTTGCAGGTGAATAGCGCTTGGAGGAAGATAAAAACCATTCTTCCACTCAGGACAGGGGAACAGGGAGGGGACTTAAACCACAGTGTGTGTGTTGGGGTTGGAGCGGAGGTGCATGTGAACATTGGCCGCTGTGAGAGACTGAAGAAAGAAGGGGGAAGAAATCTCCGTGTGTGGACTTCTCTCAGAACAAAAACTCGCCTAAACGCTTACCATTTACCTCTGACCCGGGTTCCCAGCCTGGTCGGAGAGACTCCTCTCTCTGACGAATATTCATGCGAATAAGAGTTCTTAACCCGGAGGTGGTCATCAGAATTACCTGAGGAGTGTTTCCTTCCTGTCCAGAGCCCCGCTCGAGAAATGTGAGGTTGGGTACTTTTTTTCTTTTTCTTTCTTTTTTTTTTTTTTTAGATGGAGTCTGGCTCTGTCACCCAGGCTGGAGTACAGTGGGGCGATCTCGGCTCACTGCAACCTCCCCCTCCCGGGTTCAAGCGATTCTTCTGCCTCAGCCTCCCCAGTAGCTGGGATTACAGGCGCGCGCCACCACGCCCGACTAATTTTTGTATTTTTAGTAGAGATGGGGGTTCACCATGTTGGCCAGGCTGGTCTCGAACTCCTGACCTCGTGATCCGCCCGTCTTGGCCTTCCAAAGTGCTGGGATTACAGGCGTGAGCCACCGCGCCCGGCCAGGTATGGGTAATTTTACGAAAGCTCTTAGGAAAGGCCTAGAATAAGCGTCAGCGGGGTCCATTCCTACTCGAACTCCACAAAGTCCCGAAGGTATTAAGAGCTGAAGGGAGACAAGAACGAAGCAGAGATCAGGGCCTCCCTCTCCTCCCGCCCACCTGCGTCTCAGACAGGCTGAGGGCCGTGGCCAGTTCCACTCGCTCTGGCGTGGACAGGTAGCGCTGGATCTCGAACCTCTTCTCCAAGCCCGAGAGCTGCGAGTCAGAGAAAACCGTGCGGGCTTTGCGGCGGCGGCAGTGCTTCCCCGGCAGCTCGGCGTGCTGGGGGTGCTGGAACAGCGCTGGGACAGGCATCCCTGCAGAAAGAAGAGCAACCAAGTGGGCAGAGCCTGGGTCGCCGCAGAGCAACCTCCGCAGCGCTCCCCTCCCTTCCGCTAGCCCCCAGTGCCTCCCTCCGCCCCTCGCCTCCACCAGTCTGCTAGCCCCAAAGCCCCTCAAGCCTTTCTCTCAGGAATCCAGGGCAGAGAAACAGGCGGGGGGGGGAAAAAGCCTCAGAAATAGCGCTTGGAGATCTTTATCTGGAGAGTCATCTAGAAACACAAACAACAAACAGTAAGTAAAACAGAAAAGAAAATTGGAAAATAGATCCGGAGGCCGTTTAAAAATGTCTTCTTGGAGAGACTTCCGTAGGGTAGGCCAGAGCCGTCTTCAGTTGCGCCTGGCGAAGTTTTTTTGCAAATGTCAAATGGCCCAGGAGCAGTCCTGTCCCCAGCCCCCACCGTATCCTCCTAGACCCCTGATGACACTCAGTGCTGTTCTGGGGCTAGCAGGTGCATGGATATAATCTTGCCTCTAAACCTCACTGAAAAACACCTTTCTGTTTCCCAAGCCACTCCTATCCCCCTGCAGCCAAAGGGAGCCGAGCAAAACTGCCTTATCCGGAGAAGCCCCCGAGCGGGAACAGAGGAGCATTTCCCGCCTCTCACATCTCCTCGTCCGTTTCTGGGTCGCGCTGGGGACCCGGCTATCTAATCTGGTCCTCATTCTTTTTCTCATTCTTTCCCTCTCCAAGGCCAGCGAAGCAGAAGGGTTTGAGGCGCTTTTCCATGGCCGGGTCCGGGAAAACTTGTCTTTCCTGACCCTCGCGAGATTGACTCTGTCTGAGACGCGCCAAGCGGATAGAAACTACCACAAGCAACATCGGCCAATCCCAGGGAAAATAAACAAACGTAACAACAAGTAGTGCGGGTACCGCGGGCTTTGGCCACTGCTGTATGGGTGAACCACTGGCGCCACTGAGAATAGACTGTCACCAGCGGGTGGTGAAGCCAGTGCAGAGATGTGGACCTGGATGCAGCCTTTACTTTATCACTGCCCCTCCAACTGACTGCCCCGGAGTCTGGATTTTTTTACCACCTTACAAACACTTTTAGCTTTGTTCTGGATTCCAGCGCCCACAAACTACCTCCTGTCTTGCCCCCAGCCCCTGCACCGACCATGGTTGTTGCCACCTCCGAGCTATGAGTCTGGACTCAAGGAATTATTCTACTCTGGCTGGATTGAAAACGCCAGAGAAAAAACCATGGATGTGGCCTTTTAGAGGGAGACAGAAAAAAAAAATCTGGGTATTTTCCCACATCATCCTGTCCCAAACAGACTTTGCTAGTCCCTGCTTTTTGTCAGACCAGAGAAATCAAAATACTTTAGCACCTGGCTAAATGATGGCAGCTGGGGCAGAGGAGGTAGCCCAGATTGTGAGTTAAATGTTAGATGTTGAGGGTGAGGAGGGTTAAAGAGCTGCATCTCCCTCAACCCCCATTTTTTCTCACGCTTTCTCTCTTATTCAGGCTAGCCCAAACCTTTCGTTCTCAGAGAAGCCCAAACCTTCATTCACTTCTATGCCCCCAGCAGTATCTGCAAATGCTCAGTGCCTGGAAAAAAGAGAGCTGCCCTGGACAGAGTGTTTTGAGTTTCTGTGCAGGAAAAGTTCTGTCCACGGGGTGGGATGCTCAAGGGTCTCCCTCTGAGTGGGCAGAGGCGGAGAATCAGGATTGAGAGATGGACCAAAGTGGCCAGGAAGATCACAAGCAGGGAGACTGAGCACTGCCCACCAAGAGTATTGTCAAACCCTATACGCTGCCTCTTGACCAGGCACCTATCCTCTGCTATGAAGAGTGCGGGGGGATCACGAATTATCCCCGTGAGTTGGCATGCCTCCAAGGAGCTCCGCATTGCCTCAGCCATATCCCCAGCCTTCCACTGTCACTTAGGGAAGGAGGCCACCAAGCCAGGCCGAGCCAGTCTGGCCTTTCCTTGGCTCCATCACAGGCTTAGAATCTGTGCTAGAAGCCCTGCTCTCTCACTGCCCATACCTTGAGGCTCCTGTTACTTACCCGAGGTGGTGAGGAAATAAGGATGGTGGTGGTCTCCCTTATGCAGAGGGTGATGGGCGTGAGGAGCCAAGAGGGTGGGTGTGGGCATGAGGGGGTAGCCATAGTCTAGCAGAGGCACCCGAGAGGCCAGAGAGCTGGCGAAATGGTCTGGGGCCACCTCCCTCAGCGGCTTGGGCTTGTGCAGCAGGATGTCCTCGATGAAGAAGGATGTGGGCCTCTGAGAAGACGCCGGGTGTAGAGGAGAGGTGAAGTTGAGATTCATCTTGAGCAGAGCACCTGCCACAGGACAAGGGCCGGGACGAAGTGGAGGACACAGGCAGAGTCTTCAAGCCTGCTCGAAAGCCAGCAACCACCCTCCGAGGCTCGAATCTCCTCTGCTCTCTCCCGGGCCTGGGCTACCCCCGGCGCTGGAGAGGCAAGAAGACAAGCTCCTGGGTAGGTTGGGTCTCTGTGTTGGAGAATTGGCAGCTTGGAGAGGGGAGCGGGGAGAGCCAATGACGAGGCTGCCAGAGGCAGAGGGGAGGGTGCGGGAGGCTCGGGGCGGGGCGGGGAGCTGTCCGCGGTGCTGAACACCACCGGCCAAGCCTGGGAACAACAGAGTCCGCAGGGTTCTTGTTCCTACCTGGTTTCTTGACCTCAATTTCTGCCCCGTCACTGCAGGGGCTGCTTTGTTCCCAGTCGTTTTTAAAAGAAAGCTAAAAGGAAAAAGTCTCTGTTATCCAGCAAACTCCTCTTTACAGAGGAGAAGGCACTAAAAGGGCACCAAAGCAATAGGGATAAAGCACTTATTCAGGCATTTAGGCCTGGGTTTTAAGAGTTTCCATAATTTTGGTGGCAAAAAAAGAAGGGAGGAAGTGAGGAGAAAGGGCACCTGATACTTCAAATTGCTAGTTTCTACTTAAGTCTATGGCTGAGGGATGACTGGATTATTAAGGTAAAGAAAGAAAATGATGATGGTCATCATAACAGTCTTTACCTCAGTTATAGGCAGTGGGCAGGAGGAGGGTTATGTCTACATTAGTCAAGTTATTTGGTCTGTGTAAATATGTCCAGAGTCATCTCTTAGTGCCATCCTCCATGTCCCCTCAAATATTTACTTTCTCCTCATTTCACTCACACAGTTTGCTATTTCTGCTGTTACTTTTTCAACCCTAGCCCCCGAAATAATTGTACTACGTTTTTGTTTCCCACTCCTCTTTCCCAGCCTCTTTCCTTTCATTTCTGTCCCTACCAATCTTTCGTTTTTTTTTCTGTTTGTCTTTTTCTAATCTGTCACATTTATTTCCCTGGAGTCAATTTGCTAAAATTAGGGTGATCATCTACAACACAGCAGGGGTAATTTCAGCTCACATCTCCGAAAATTGCTCTAATTATTGATGTTAAACTCAGGGAAATTAAAAGAAGCCACTTCTCTCCCATCTCCCCATTTTTAAGCTCTAATTTGTTGAAATCTAGTCGTCATCACAATTCCAATCACTACTGCTAATAGTAAAAGTGTTTTAATAGAGACTGAGTCCTCACAACCCATGCTATTAGATAATTAGAGGAGGTGTTAGAAAGCCAAGTGCTAATCCTGGGGCACATGGGTAGGATTTCCATCTGATCTAGCAGGTAGAACAAATTAATTACCAGAATCAATTAGGCCCCAAACTACAGTGCACTAGGAAGTGGCAGCATTCTATTCCATAAGGATGAACTGGTAAATGGTAAGTAGATGAAGAGCTTGAGAGGAAGGAGGAAGGGATGTGAGGGAGACTTTAAAATAAGATCTTGGCAAGTAGGCATCTAAATGAAATCAGAATGCTTTGACCTGAAGTCCAAAATGCGATTTTTAAAAAACTCTAATAGTAAGAAGAGAAGAGGCCCAGTGTGGTGGCTCACGTCTGTAATCCTAGCACTTTCAGAGGCTGAGGGGGGAGGATTGCTTGAGCCCAGAAGTTCAAAACCACCCTGGGAAATATAGTGAGGTCCCAGCTCAGAAAAAAGAAAGGAGGAAAGAAAGAAAAAGAAAGAAGGAAGGAAGGAAGGAAGGAAGGAAGGAAGGAAGGAAGGAAGGAAGGAAGGAAAGAAAGAA